AAAAATGATCATGTAATATATTAAATAACATGTTATTAAATAAAAATTAGTAATTAATTAACTAATTACTTAATTATGTAATTAAAAGTTAATTATTTGATTAATAAATAGAATACTAATAAATTAATACATACTAAATATTTTTATTAATACATTAATTAATTACGTATAAACTAATAATTATGAGTACATTACTAGTAATTACGTATATGCTTATTATTAACTACTATTAACATATTATTTAGCATATTAAATTAATATATTTAAAAAATCAATCTTCATACTTGATCTATCTTTTCTCTGAGGAAGCTCCTCTTATAGTATCTCAAAAATCTCTCAAGTGATCTAAGATTTAATGTGACTTAATGACTATTTAGAGTGACTAGTAAATCTTATTTCCACAACCAATAGGTTTTTCAAAACTTAAAATCGCGTGTTAAATTGGATTAATTAGATTATATTTTTTCTCACTGCAACTGATTGACCTATTTTAGTGGTGTGTATTTCAACCGGTCGACTGGTCAAGGTAAATCAGTAGTATGCCGCTAGTCAGTTGGTCAACATAGTAAATCTTCATGCTAAGTTACATTCCGTTTATACCACTGATCGACTGGTACAAAGCCGATTGGTGTATAGGCTAATTTATTTAATACGATAAAACAACCTCAATTTAATTTCAATTAACTCAATGTCGTAATTACTTGATTAAAATAGATATGTATTTATATTTCCATATTTAATAAAACCTTAAACCTTAATTCAACTAATAAATTACTCGTGATTAATTTCCAATCAAACTATTCAAATTGGTATGACGTGTCAGGTGTTGAAATAATTATTAGATAACCAACTTGTCAAAAGCGGATCCAACATGGCCAAAATACTTAACAAGCTTTGAAACTAGATGATGTAGATGAGACCTCCTACGGAGAGGTGGAGATGGTAAGGCCCGAAGAAAACAAATCCTAGGCATGCTACGTTGCCAAATGTCCGAAATTCCCTTACAAAATTATTAGAGAACTTGCAAAGTATAAATGCATACATACATATATATATATATATATATATATATATATATAT